TTCTTTTTTTTTTTTTTTTTTTTTTTTCTTTATTTTCTTTTGCTTTGCCCGACGCTCTTGTGGCTTGGCAACCTGCTGCGAGGTGAGAACATCTCGCGTCGACCCTCTGACCACACGAGAGGGAGAACGCGCGACGGACGCCCGCGGTATTTAGAAAGCGCGAGAGACGACGAATGGGACAACGCGCCCTTCTAAGCTTTATTATTGTCGCTCAGTCTTTTTTTACCTTTACAGTCGACTGTAAAAATCAGGCGCTACGCGCTGGTTAGATCGGAAATAGGAACGTTCGCATTATACTCCCGTAATCGTCGCTCGTTATTGTTATACTTACGTGATCGCAACAATAAATCCTTACGGGGAGAAACGAGATATGCTACTGAATGGCGACAATGCGTTTGCGTTTCTCGCCGTTAGCTCTGCACAGTCGTCCACATAGTCCACCCGCGAGATCTGATCGTTTTTCTTTCTTTCTTTCTCTCTCTCTCTCTCTTTCTCTCTCTCTCTCTCTCTCTCTCTCTCTCTTTTCCTTCCAGTGATACGAGTACATATCGATCGTCGATCATTATTAACGCGAGATGCGTCGAGCTATCCTACAATAACGACTCGAAAACTATCTCATCGCCCTCACAGCGAGTTTATGAAAGTTTACGAAAAATATAGTTTTCGCGGAGAGGACGCTTCCTTCGGAGGCGTTGCGGGGGGAGTTGCGGGGCGGGGGAATGGGGAGATTTCTAATCGGGACTATTTCGGAAGTGGTCGTCGAGAGTTCGAAATGAGCCGCTTGATGGATCGTTTCGTCGATGCAATAAGCTCCTATATAGGGAACTTGCTTCGACAGTGGACACGTATCGCCCTGAAAAATCCAATTCTCTAAATTCGGCACACAACTTTCCCAAAAAATCACAATACAAAGTCCGGATACTGAGACGATATCTCAGGATACAACTTTCACAATGAAAATTTCTTTTCCGTACACTGAAGAGAAAATACTTGAAAATTTATCTGTGAGATATAAAGCATAAAGTTTATGCACAGAAATAAACTTTATATCCCACAAATAAATTCTCAAGCATTTCTTTTCTCAGTGTGCGTTGTCTCCAAAGCAATACAGTCAACTGATTAAGGATTGCAATGCTTTTCCTCAATCAGTGTTGCAACGCATCCCATATTAAAAAAGGGGTTTGCTTTTTAGTAATTATCTAGAGATATATTTTTTTATTGGATATAGAATGCACCGCGAAACTCATCGAGGAAGAGCATTACAACCTTTAATTAAACGACTGTACACACAAATGTGTTAATATCTATCCATTCTAGTACATAAGGCGACTTAATAGGCGCTTTAACATTTACTAGGCCCAGTTCCAATCGAATTTCTTGCAATGTGTTCTACATATTCATGCAGTGTTGAGTCTACTTCGAGGTTGTCTCTTTCCCGGAATTATCAACAGTCATGATGCATGAATGTATAGAAACATTGCGCGTAATTGAAGAATTTGATTGAACCAGGCTCAGTCAATGTTAAGGCTATTATATCGGATTATATACACTCGCAGACAAAAGGATTGCTCGTAATTTTTGGGGTGAGTTTGTCAACTGTCCGTCTTGTACGATGGGATAATTCGTTTTCCAACAAGAAAATGTTCCCATTGGACAAAAGCGGATAAGTTCCAAAGCTCACTCTAAAAATACCCCAAAAATTAAGAAAATAACTTTTCTGTCCACGAGTATACATTCGTTTGCGAAGCGGTTTAAACACTTTTTTCTGATGCAATTAGGAGGGCATTAAATGATCATGATTACATCAAAAGAAATGTGTTCCAACCATCTCGCTAACGAGTGTATACACTCTTGCATTGAAATGACTAGATACAAACGCACCCGGCTATGCAACGAGACCATTGCAATATTTCGGCGAAACTGTATTTCGGAAGATCGTCACGGCATTCTGATCTTGAAGTTATGACTCATCGGGAAATTGCTCCACTTTTGAAATTTCGCTGCTTTTCGAGACAATACGCGTGTCCACCCCGCCTCGACGATACACGTCTGACAATCGCGAGAACGTGGTGCGCTAACCACGCGAAGAATCATAACGACGACTAAGGCAATTCGATAATTCTTCCCTTCCTCTCTGGCTGGCCGTTCTTGGGGATGGGGTGGTTTACGGCGAGGTGACCTTGAAATGCTGCTCGGCCTGATGGGCGTGCAGGATGAAGGCCTTGAAGGCGGCGAACGGGCAGAGCGGGCACTTGAACTGCGGCGGCTCGCACTTGTGCTTCAGATAGTTGCTCCACATCTTGTAGAACTTGCTGCACATGGTGCAGGTGTAGCCGAGGACCTGATCGCCCATGTACATCTTCCGGTAAGCTGGAAACAGAGGGATCACGTTAGTTAGTTGGGCCGCGCGGGAGTCGGTCGCGCAGTCGCGGAAGGACCTCGTAAAGGAATTCAACAAACAGCGTCAGGATAGAGCCACGGTGAAAAAAGCACTCGCGTGTGTTTAGTCGACGGCGGTCAGTCCGATTTATGAGATATGCCTCGCTTCTCGTTGGCAAGTTCGCATAACTCTCTCTCCAGGTGGAGCCTCAACGAGATGAAGAAAATTCGAATGATTGAAACGTCGCGCAAAAATTGTATTTTCGCAGATTAGGCGAAAGCTAAAGCGCGAAAAATTTGCACAGATTATAGTGACTCACGATTCTGATATATATTGCTACACGTGTGTCAATCACATATCCCACAGACAGCACAAATTACTAAAAGACGTTCAAAAAATGTCTAAAAGAAATAGAGTATCTTTTGGACGTCTTTAAGACATCTTTTAGTGGACTGTGCTGTCTGCGAAGTTTCTTGGTCTTTTTTTAACGAATAAACATTTGAATTTTCTTGCTTTATCTTTATTACAAGACGTGACAAAGTATTTCCCGCAAATTGTCGCGCGTTGTGGCACCACCTCCGCGTTCAGCGGATCGTTCGAGAGATCTCATAAGTCAAACCTCGGATTCCAATGAATAATCTCAAGTGGATATCTCTTGCCGCAAGGAAAGTCGTTCTTTTCTCTTTTTTTTCTTTTGTTTTGGTCGAAAGCTTGGTGCGTCCCTCAAAGAATTCAAAAGCCATCCTAAAATCAACGAAAGCTCGGAAAACGTCGCAAATAAATCACACAAAGACCACTACTCTATGAGTTCTAGAAAAGGAGTTCTGATTTTGGGATCAGAAGGATTAGAAGTCAATTCACCAAGCTGCCAAACGTACTTCTATATTAAAGCACTCATCAACTAAAATAATATGTACAGGTGTAAATTCGCTTGTCGGTATCTAGGATCAGGAATTGCCGCGAGAAACTTAACGCCTAAAGTCCAAGAATCGAACTGAAAAAGGTTCTCCCTTTGTCGCCTTGATAAATCTATCAACTGCTGAACGATTCGCTTTTCTTGTTGCGTATTCTATTCTCACATTTCTCCTCGATGTGTGACGGAGCCGAAGTCGTGCACTAACGAACGAACAAATTTCAACGGATATAGGCGCTTCCTCTGGCTTTCCTGGAAGAATAACAAACAAGTGTTCAATGTTCGATGTATCTTTCTCAGTATGTAAACACGCAAACAAGCGTGTCACTGAACGTATGTTCTCAATTATCAGTATTTCAATCGACTGTCACAGTTGCAACCTATTAGGTGAATATTACAAAAGTGTCGATTAGATCGACACAATCTGGTTTTGAGCTTTTCTTCTCGCAAAGATCAGCCCTCGCCCTTGTCACGCTGAAACCAAAGAGATCGGACATTAAACTGAAATCGAAAAAACAGAGCGGCTACGGACTTAGTGTCTATTACAAGGAAGCCTTCGGTTTATTTCACCTTCAACATATTTTACAATTGTTATTTTGTACAACAATATTTGACACGATAAAAGCTCCTCGACGAAATAAAAAGAAAATGTTGAGTAAAAAAATAGATTACGGCGTACATTTTGTGAAAACGACATGCTTACAAATATATATGTACCAACAAATGATAACAGTACGAGGAATAAATTTCTATACAAATCACATATATATGTACACACACAATGCATAAAAAAGATATAAATTTTTTTTGTGGTTTCATCACGTTAGTGATTGCATAAAAATAAAAAAAGAAAGAAATGACAATGATTGATTAAGAACTTTGAGCGATAATACATGCTAAGTAATAAGAGGGAATGTCTACCTCGGGCTTACATCAATGAGCTAAATGTATTTTGTGACATTGTAAAAAAAAATCTTACTTATTAAAGGACAAGACATTGTTTGTGGACTTAAGGGGATGCCAGATATCGACATAATTCAGCTTTCGTACACTTAGAAGAAAAGATAATGATAGCAACTATGTAGATTACAGCTATGCAAGTTTTGCATGTAGAATTGTAATGTATATAGCTTTTAATAAATTGTTTTCTCTGATTATTGCAATTATATTAAAACTTTAGTCGCAATAACTAGAAAATAGTCTATTAAACTGTATACATTACGTACAAAATTCTACATTACATATAAAATTCGTGTATAGTTGTCGTCTGTATAGTTGCTATTATTATTCTTTTATTTAATTGCACAGAATTGCGAACGCTTTCACAGAGTGAAAACACATGTTACGTAAAAATACGTGTTACATAAAAAACAAAAAAATTATTTTTACAAAAAAATTTTTTGAAAAACAAACTTTTTTGTCTTTTCATGTAACATGGAATATCTTTCGAATGCATTGACATTTGTACCTTCACTCTGTGAAAGTATTTACAATTCTATGCAACCAAATAGAGTACAAACAGCGAACATTGCATTATGTTCAGTGAAGAAAAATTCCTGTAATAAATAGTTAACAAATGCATTTGATTAAGTGTTTTTGCGCAATATTTAGTAATTAGTAATTACTGCAACCGTCTGATAATAATTGTATTAAATAGAATTAAATAGAATTTCCGTCTGGTAATAATTATTAGGATAATAAAATTAACAAATTCTTCATTTAGTTGGACCAATTAAGTGGTTTGATTTAAATAATGCCAAATAATTTGGTAATAATCGCTGAATAGTTTGACTATTACTAAAGTATTTGATCGTTTCGCATATTTATCACATAATGTGATAAATATTACCAAATATAATATGTTTTTACTTAACAATCTTTTGATGATACGTATCACATAATTTGGTAATAGCCACCAAGTCTTAGCAACAGATATCAAGCCTTGGCAAAAGATAACACAAGCCTTGCTAAGATTACTTGTTGATACTTATTAAACTACTTGATTATATTTATCTACACGTTTAGTTGATAGCATTTCACCACAGCATCCAGTAAGTATTATCTTGGCTTGATGATTTTTACACCATGGGAGGAAGAAATCCAAGAAATAAAAAAATATTTATTCAATGGGTAATATATATATAACATATTTACTCTTTTATATTAATATAAAATATTTTTCAAATAAGAAAATATACATTTCTTCTTAAGACTTTAGCTTTTCATGAAAGCAATTGTTTACCTCTAGCTTTTATATTTAAATAACAGAATATAGATGTAAGTAAATATGTCATCAAGTAAACAAGTGAACCCAGCGAATAAATATCTATTCTTTACATATTTTTGTTTCAGTGTACCAAAGTTTCTTTCCCGTGTCGGTGTTCAACATCCCCTTAAATTCGTAAGAGTTTGCGTTGAAGGGATACTAATGACCAGGTAGAATTTATTTAACGCGGCTCAGCACGTCGGACCTGCCATTTATCCCACAAACGACTGCCCTGACTCGTAGTCGCGATATTTCACGAGGTATAACCGGTTGGAAACGGCCGGATCCTGCCGTGATGCTTCTTGCGGTGTCTGTCGACGCACCACCTGTGCGGACTCCTGTACGAGCACAGGTCGCATTTGATCCTCGGCTTCGCGTTCACGCACTCGAACTTCTGATGCCGCCACAGGGACCTCTTCACCGTGTAGCTCTTGCCGCAGATCGAGCACACGTAGCTTCTCTCGCGCTCTTCGAGAATGCCATCGTCCTGTTGCTGATGCAACTGGCTGCTGCCGCCTTCGTATCCGTACATCCTTTTGTAAGGCCACAAAACAGCTGAAACAGCAATGTCAGATCGGTTAGTAGGGAACGACCGGCGATTGGTTGCGGGCACAAGCATGTCCGGCTTTCTGAGAGGATCGACTTTGTGTCGATACCTCGCGTTCGACGACGTCGCCGGGTTTGCGAAACGAGGTTCTCGATATGCAATTTTAATGTCCCTCAGATGTCGGGCGAGACTCATGTCCGTATATCATGATATTCAGGACAAAGCAAAGCGAAGTTCAACCTCGTATCGCGCAATCATATTCGTAGTACATCTACGCAAAGACGCCAGACAGACATCAGGACTGATTTTCTCGACATTGTACGACTCCACTTAAAATCCCTACATTGCGTAACGCCGCTACTCGCGAATGCTTGATGCTTCTTGATTTTTACCTGGCTTCGACTGGTCGCTCTCCGACGTTGCTCCCCGCGAGAAACTTCGTGCTTACGTGAGACCTCGGTGCAGGCTCGAAGGCTGCAAAGTAGGCTCGAGAATACTGAGTGCCGTAAAGAGAACTTGGGTAGCACCTCGGTAAACAAGAGAGAAACGAACGCTTGGCGATTGCGAATCTGTGTTTATTTCTCATTTCTAAGGCAATTATACGTCGATATAAGCATCGGCGAGAACTAGCTCAACGATCACGCGTGGAAAGGAGAAGAGGTAGAGGGGGAGGAGACAGACATAAACTCCCTTTTCGGACCTCGTAGTACAAGATGCCTGCGTGATTTGTTTCGCTGCGCGACGCGTACACATATAAATATAAATACTGTACGTAGATATACGCAAATCTTGCAAAATTGTCAATTAAGTCGGCGCGATTGGTCGACTTAATTATTTTAAATTCTTCGTATTTTTACTTGAGTATTTATCGTCTTTGCTTAGCGAGACGAACTTCATCCTTTTTTTTTTTACGTTGAAACGTAAACCAACTGTTCGGACAGAAATTAAGAAAAGTAGTGAAACTCTATTAACTCGTCGACCATCGCAAAGAAACTTTCATTTTGCTTTTAATGTCTTGCAAAATTACGTATATATAATAATAGTAATAACTGATCTACACATAAAAATTCTTCGATAAAATCGCCTGAACGAAAAAGCATGACAAATTGCTGCAAATGCAGAAGTCATTATTAAAGAAGAATTACTTCTTTAAACATATTACATAATACATTTATACGCGAAAAACACACAAGTCATTGCATTGTCCTTGACACTGTCAATAATTGCACAAAAATTAAAAATATAACAATATTCCAAGATTATAGATTTACAGCACTAACAAATCGCAGTATGAAAAGTTCTCTGTAAAATGCCTTATTTTGCGTTCTTATACGCCGAAATTAAACTTAGGCCTTGTAGCCTCACAAAAAAACAATCTTGTTCCATTTTTACAACTTAAAGCCTAGAGAAACAATTCAAAATCTCCACGAGAGGAATGATCAAGTAGGATTTATTTAACGCAACTCGGCATACTGATCCACTCGATCCTCGATCTTGACCAATTCTCGACCCCGCCATTAGTGTCTGGTATTAATCGAGTAAAATGTTATTTGACCAAAATAATTGACATGATAACAAAGATAGATAATCCGTCATCATGTATAATCACGAATAATTTAATCATCGATGAAATTAATTATTAATCGGATTACAATTAATTAAAATTTAATCAATAATTCATTTCATCTGTCGACTAAGTTAGTCGTAATTTTATGTGTGACGATTGATTAACTTTGATTATTAATTTGCCGATTATTTTAGTCGACTTGACATTTTAACAGATTTCTGCCCAACACTGTCCGCCATATTATTTCTTGCTGCCGAATGATTTTTCAATTATTGACTATAGATGTAATAATTCAATATCTCTGACTCAAAAAAAAAGATTGCCACATAAAGTGAATAGTTATTCTTTCTTTCATAAAAGTTCTTTTAAATTTCACTATATTTTTAGTGAATAGTAATTCTTTCTTTCATAAAAGTTCTTTTCAATTTTACTATATTTTTAATACTGCAGAAATAGACTGCTAGTAAGGTCTATCTTGCTAAGAAACATAGGTCCTGATTCTGAGATTTCTTTTATCGATAAAGGTTCCTGTATATGCGCTTTTATAAGCCAATTAGAAGGTTTCTAAGTCACATTTAGGCACTTTAGTCAATAACAGAGAGTTCAGAATAAAGGCTATGATGAATTTCTTTAAGAACATAGTAAATTTTTTAATAGCACATTTTAGTCCCTGAAACATAAGTAATATATATGACATGAAAGTATAATAAATTACAGAATGTTTGTCTATTCCTCACTAAGAGAAAATATTACTCAAGTAAACCTACCCATAATGTATACTCTGATTTCTTTCTAATTTGGCACAAATGTAGAAGTACAAAACATTTAGATCACATTTTTTCATTTCGAGTTTCACGGACAATTTATAATTTTTTAATGTTCTCACTTCTATCATCAACAAATACAACAAAAATGCATAAGAAGTAAAATTGAATACAAGATATAGTTAAATAATTTTAACAAAATCGGCATAGCTGAGACACGAACCATTCTAAATTTAACTAAGATTTCCACCGCAATATTTAAAATCTGTGCTAAATTAGTCAAAAATGGTTCGAATCTCGGCCAAATCGAGAAATTATTTGTATAAATAATTTTTTTAACTTTTTACATGTTTTATTTAAACATTTTATTATTTATATAAATAATTTTACACATTTGACTTCGTATTCATAATCAGCAAACCAAAAACGCCTATATCTTGTATTCAGTTTTATTTCTTATGCATTTTTGTTGCACTTGATGATAGGAGTGAGAACATTAAAAAGCTATAAACTGCCCGTGAAACTCAAAGTAGGTCAAAATGAAAAAAATATGACCTAAATATTTTTTGTACTTCTACATTTGTGTCAAATTAGAAAGAAATCGTAGTGTAACTTTTGAGTAGGTTTACTTGTAAGAAATAAGAAATATTTATTAATTATATATATATATATATATATATATATATATATATATATTAGTTATATATTTAAAACTAATATATATATATATATATATATATATATATATATATATATATATATATTTATACATTTAGAAAATGTCTTTTTCAAATGAGGAAATATACATTCCCCTAAAACTGTTGTTTTTCATAAGAGCAATTGTTTATTCTATTTAAACAAAAGAATTTAGATTTAAGTAAATACCCAATAAACACCAAGTTTCAGTGACATAACATCAATGCTATAATTTTCTATTCAACAATGTAAATGTAACATAACGTGAGTATTACGTAACATCGTTGAGCGAGAAGTTATAACATCGACGTAACGTTATTACTAATTGGTGTTTACTGGATATGTTAGTACCTATCCCCAATAAACATTTTCTCACTTTTTAAGTGTTTTTTTCCTTCAATGCTTGGCTGCAAAATTCCACAGTAATTTTTACTATAAAATTCTGCGCGTACACTGACATAGTCGGTAATACGTAAATATAATCTGACGGATTGCAAGATATAATGTGGCAGGCCGCGAATTGGCCGACCCATTTGAGCGGAAGTTTCGATGTTCATCGAGTATTCGTTCGATCACGAGAGAGCCGTACTTGAGCTTGGCTCGCAACTGAAACTATTCGCGAGGTCTAACGGGCGTTATAGTACTGATTGTAGCCTGATTGTGGATCGTGCTTCCTGCTGTGAAGGTCGACGCGCCACTTGTACGGGCTCTCGTACGGACACAGATCGCAAGTGAACTTCGTCGCCGGGTTTATGCACTCGAACTTTCGGTGCCTCCAAAGGGACCGCTTCACCGCGTAGCCCTTGCCGCAATTCACGCACACGTAGCTCTTCTCGCGCGCTTTACCATCGTCACCAAGGCGATGTAGCGCGTCGTATCCGTAATCCCCTTTGTGAGACCACACTAAAGCTGAAACAGCAACGTCGGTTCGGTTAATAGGAGCGATCAGCGAGCCCGGACACAAGTGTGTCCAGCGAACGTCGGTTCGCTGAGAAGCCTCACACGATCGACATTTAGCTAGTCGATAAGCTTTTTTTCTACTTCGATAGCGACGTAGAATCGGCGGTACTGAAGGATCCGCGAGGTGACTTACGCTTTGCGTGAGACAATTCGATAAAAATTCATCGCCCGAATAAATGCTCCCAGCAAAACCGTCGCTCCACTCATTTTGCGACGGTAATCTCGTGATCCCCGTGCGTCGAGACTTCGATGCGACATCGGGGGCTGCCGAAGTAGACTCATTCGAAAATATATAATCTCATCCTCGAATCCTGTATATAAGTAGAAGAAAGGAATATACGGAATCCTCAAGAGGATTCCTCTAAAGCCAAAATGAAGATATTCTAAGCGCAATATTGTTCCTCCTCATTAGAAGAATGATACAGCAAAAGTTTTCGCTTAGAATGTGGGGTTACAGGAAATAGCATCTTTCAATTAGAATTCCTTTTTTGGATGTCGGAATATTTTTTTTAAGCTTTGTAAGAATTCTCGTGAGAGGTGATATGCAAGAGGATTCCGCTAAGGATGAGATTATATTTTTTTTAGGGGCTCGAACATCGAACTCTACACAATGAAGGTAGGAAATATTTGAGTGGAAACAGAAAGAAAAAGAAATTATCAGGTCTTGTTATCTTAGGTTTCTGCAGTATGGAGAAATGTTTGATCCGGTTCTCAGGCTTGCTGTCGTGGATTTGTCGCTGACGTTTAGTGAACATTGCAGTTCAGGGGAAGCAAAACGATCGAAAAAGTTTTCAGTCATTTTTCTCCCCCGCGTAGAGGTAAACTGGAATGTTGATGAAACGTTGGGAACAAATCCGCGAAGGGATTTTGTCAATCTGTTTCGTGATTTCTTTGCGGATTTGGAAATTCGAGTTTACTGTAATCGGAAACAAATCCGTAATTTTGTAAAGTTTTCTGGTTTGTTTTCTTGCGATTTATATATCCGAGTTTGTTACGATCGGACACAAATCCATGAGGAAATCTTTCAGACTTTTTGCAAATTTGCAAATCCGAATTTATTGTATAAATCTCGAACGCAACAGTGTCGTCGCCAATACAGTCGATGGTAGTCGGTGGTGGCGACAGAAGTGGAACTCCTCTTTTTCTCCGTAGCGTTAAATGCATATCTGTAGCTGACAACAGAGAAGGCAATATCCTGTATGCGTATAGAGCGATTTATCGTACACCCTCAATATAGGCGCAATTGCTGGTCTTGTTGGGATTCTACAGTTGAGGGATACTCCTTCCGTTTTTATCTTATTGTCAGCGTGTCAGTTCATCTCCCACTCTTTAACTTCCAAACTGCACGCGCTCCTGATGCGAAAAGAAGATACTGCATGATACCTATAGGAAAAATAGGAAATCTCGTTGGAGCACGAAATATAATGCGGTTAGAAAGATAATCCGGTTACGATCGGCGTGTGTAGAGGCGAATAATCAAGGAACACTCAGCGGCGTCAGGTTTGCGGAACATTAGGACTCTGTTCCCTATTTAATCTCATACATTTCTCGGTCGAATGTTCGAATCCACGAATATAATTCGACGTTTGCGATACAATTGTAATACCTGAAGTCACACATATGCGTTAATTTCCGGTGCGTCAGCGCACGACAATAGTCTCCGCTATAAAAATCTTCTGCTCCTTCCCTCGGATCAGTGAGAGATTCTTTTCTTGAAAATTTATAAAACTCGGTCGCTCGCGGTCGTTCTTCACGATAATAATCTCCTACCTGTCGAAACGACAATCGTGACATTATTTGCAGTAAGTTGTTGAACCGTACATACTGAGTTAAAAATGTGTCATCTAATAGCGATGCTACTGGTATACGCGGTTCGCCAGTCCCGATTTGCTCGTCTCATTCCATCTTTTGTAATGCTATACAACCGGATGAAAAGAAAAAAAATACTCGCACACGCCATCCTTTCCGAGCGAAACGTTCGTGGAAAAACGAAGATGGAATGTGCAAATATTTTTTTGCCCACTACATGCTCTCGACTTATCTTGCAGTTCCACGTATTGCAATGGCAACAAATGCGACATCGATGCAGGACGCATTGCGTGGATGTCGCACGAGGAAAGGCGAAATGCTCGCATAGTTCATTAATATTGCTTGTTCAAGCGCGATCGACATTCACCTTATTCGTGTTCATTAACCTTTAACAGTAATACAATGGAAAAGCAATGCACAATACTCATATACTTTCTCGTATCTGCGAGTGTAAAAACGGATAACTCAGCATGACTCAATACCCATCCGTTCCGACGTGTAAATACCTGAGTGACTAATCATTCATCTCCGATCTCGAAACATTTCGCAAGCGAGGCGAGGAAGATTGCATTACTAGCAAGACAAAATTGGACACATGGACAGTTACTTATAAATGCATCGTATGCGCCACGATGAAAAATAAATGATCGTTACGTTTTATTAATTATTAAGGCGCGGGGAATTGCTGAAAGGAAAGAAAATATATATATATATATATATATATATATATATATATATATATATATATATATATATATCTAGCGACGCGCGTGAATATATTAAACTAAACTACGTATGCTAAAAAGAGCGAACGTAGCGTAAATGCCAAAACACACAAGAGAATTCATATGTATATGTTATATTAATGTAAAAAGATAGCCAACGCACGTGCGTTATCCTGTAAAATTGCTTCGTCAAGTGTATCACATAACTGCAAAGCTGGAAATAGTTTGCGCATTTCAGGCGATTCTCGGGAGTTACGCCTTCTATCTCCCCAACTAACGGTCGCGGTTCTCAACCTCAGAGTCGTTGAGATTATAAGAGACGCATCTATGCGGGGCCTACCAAAAACGCGGTCTACATTGAGAACTTAAGCCATAAAACTTACCCCTTGTCCACAACCTTGTTTTAATTCTTAAGCTGTAAGAAACTGACCAACCACAGTTCATTATTTTTAAAATAATCGACTGTGGTTGGTCAATTTAGTAGTTAAAATAAGGCCAATGCGAATTCAGCACAGGTGTATTAATGCAGTTAAACTAATCAATAATTAGTGTATGTCCTCCGCGAGAGGAAAATTATATTTGTTAAGAAATCATATAAAAAGTCAATCTAATGTTTACACATAAAACATTTTACGTTTTACGTGTAAACATTAGATTGATTCTTTATATGATTTCTTAATAAATATAATTTTTCTCTCGCGGAGGACATACACTGATTATTGATTAGTTTAACTGCATTAATATACCTGTGCTCAATTCTCATGGGCTCTATTTTAACTACTGATTTAGATCTTCTTTTCAAAAGAGTCTATTGGTTTTTTTTTATTGTTGGTCAATTTATTAGGGCTTAAAGATTAAAGCAAAGTTGTGGACAAAGGATTAAGCTTTAAGAAGTCTGAAGCTGTAAGAATTAACCAATCACAGTCAAATATAAAGAGAATAACTGACAGCGATTGGTCAGTTTTTTAAGGTTTCAGGCTTAAAGCTTAAGTTTTATGACTTAAGTTCTCGTTGTAGACCCCGCTGATCAGTGCTAACGCGTCACTCAACGGCCCTGAGGCTGAGAGCCGCGACTGTCAGTTGCGTGGTTCGCCGTACGGCAAGGGGAGATAGAAGGTGTAGCTACCGAAAATCGTCTGAAATGGGCAAACTGTTTCCAGCTCTGACATAACTGACAAGGAACGTGCACTCAGGGAAAAACATAACGATGCTATATAAGCGATAACTATACGAGTTTTGTAGAATTGTATATAGTTATTGTATCAATCAACTATGTACATTAAATCCGAATAGTTGTCACCTCTATATAGTTGCCATCACCATGTCTTTTTTTTCTAAACTGTACGGTAGTCGTTCACCAGATTTTCGCAGGCTTCAAATGCGTTGTAAAGCAGCTAAAAGTGAGAGATGCGTGTCCTTTTATTACACGCTTTCTCGCACGTTTTGAAGCTGAAATGATTCCTCAAAGGTATAATTCGAGAAAATGAATATGCGAATGTCTTCGACATCGTGTACGAACAAATATATTTTAGACGATAAAATATTTTTCCACACTACCTCATGCCTTCGAAGACACCCACAACGAGATTACAATTAAGTTTGCTGAATTTCTTCTCAAGAATCGCTTTAACCTGAAAACGTGCAAGAAAGCATAAGTAAAAAATACATGTCCTCTATTTTTAGCTGCAAATCTACAACATATCCACAGCTCATTAAAATCGGTAAAGTACACGCTGCGAAACGGTTCGAACTCCTTCTTTTCTGATAAAGTTAGAATCGCATCACGATTGCAAGCCACTACTCGAGCCACTACGAGCCTTTGCGGTAATCCGTTGTGACAGGAATCGAAATGACAAGATATGAGATATCTGAAATCACAGCTGCAACGAAAAGGATTCAGGCACGTAAATATATATTACATTCTTATCTGTCAGATAAGAGTACCCAGACAGTAAAAACTTTTAAAAGACGTTTAAATAAGATAGAACGTCTCTTGGATGTTTCTGAAACGTCTTTTAGAAGTTTGTGCAGTCTGGGCATAATAAAGGACCGATACTTACATCGTGTACTGTCATTTCATAAGTAGTAGTTCACAATTGTGAGCATTTCGTGGGAAGAAGACGTGTCAAACCGTTTCACAAATAAATGTATACTCGATTTTAAACAAGTTTGAACATTTTTTGTCGATGCAGTTCGGAACGCAGTGAGTCCAATAAGAGAACTTAACTTGGGTAGCCTTCTCACTGGACCATCGGTTGCGTTCTAAACTAGATAAAAAAAGAAGCGTTCAAACTGTACTGAAACAAAGTGTACACTTTGTATAAGCTTCCTTGTGAGATCAGTTTCGGTTATGCAACAAACTTGAACAAAAATACATTTCCCAACATTTGTACCAACTGCAATACGTAGCTGTTTACGGTACAAATAACGCGTACATACGTATTTATATACACATAGAGATCGGTCCGCGAATCTCAAAGTACTCCACAATTTGCAGGACAGATTAACACGTTGAGTACCACGTTGTCCATGTTAGGTTGACGCGTGAATTTCCGCAGGAGCTCGTTCGCGGTTTAAAAGTTTTACTTACCCGCGATTAGGTATGATTTTACTAAAATTTACTATAAGCGCGAGACACATACCAAAAGATATTTTATTAAGTATCTTGCTTAATCGGGTGCAACTCGTATGGTTAGCAATGATTTAAGTCAGTGCATTATTAGTCACAGAATTATTTGCACTTTAAAAGTGTATGTCTATTTTCTCCCCTTTGCCTCTCTCCTTTTCACTCATCGAGTCACGCAACTGACTGTCATGACGTTTAGTCTCAGGATCCTCAATTTGATAAACTAAGACCTAAGATCTATTAGGTTCTTCTTGATTTCTGAAAAGTTTTTACTAAAACTGATATTTCATTTTTATGTTGTAATATATATACTATATATAATATAATAATATTTCAATTAAAAGTTTGATAAAAAGTAATCGGTAAATCGGTCATCGCAATTGATAAAATTTCATATATATAATCATGAATAATTTCGTGGACTGCTGAAATTAATTATTAATCAGTATAAACAATCAAAGCTTGATCAATAATTAATTTCCCCAATCGATATAATTATTCGTGATTACATATATATAACGATTAATCTTGATAATCTTAATAATAGATTATTCAATTATTAAGATTATTCTAGTTTTGTAGTCTTCAACTGCGATTTTAATGTCCGACACTATCTTGAGGCTGAACGTAGCGATCCTCAATCGCACGCTCAATGGATCAGCGAGATAAGAAAAAGGAAGAAAGTAGGCATAGCCCTTGGAAATCGCCTCGACAATGCAAGTAATTCCACACGGAGAAAAAAGATTTGGTTGAATTAATCAAATATCTGGTCGAATATGAACGATCTAGAAATTCCGATTAAAGTAACTCTATTTAATAAATTAAATAACCAGACATGTTTGATTAATCTATCAAAAATCTTATTAACTTAAACAGAATTCGAGTTACTTTAATCGGAATTTCTGGATCGTTCATATTCGACCAGATATTTGGTTAATTCAACCAAATCTTTTTTTTTCATGCAATAATATACGACCGCAGGTTATATCAAATAATTCTGACAATCGGAGTATTTGCATCTGATGAGGTCTATACTCGAGTCCAGCGTGGCACTCAATGTACTGGCCTCAATCGCGAATCCTTACGGTCCATTCGCGCGAATGAATTATTTGTAAGACGAACGTGGAACTGCTCTCGGAATCGATTACTCTCGAAAAAGATCCCGTTCCGTCGGTTCAAAAACAGAGAGGAAGTCAAGAAAACGGACGCCATCCTTTAGTGCTTAGGACCGTCCTTTCGATGGAAAGTTCTCATGTGCCTGCGGACGCAGAACGAATAGTTGCTGCAGAAGCTACAGAGCTCGCAGTGGAACTTGTGACTGCTGTCGGTTTCGTGGACGTTTCTCACGTGTCGTTCCATGTTGGCCTTGTACATGCTCTTGTAAGGGCAGAAGCTACAGGCGAATGGCGTGCCGCGCGGGTTCATCCTACAGCCTGACTGCATGTGCTTCTTCAGCAGATTCTTCAGGGGATAGACTTTCTTGCAGTAGGCGCACATGTGTCGCTTGTACACCGTCAAGGTGTTTGGCTGTGCCGTGTCCCCGAGCCGCTGAACGTTGTAGTTGTTCATGTAACCGGGCACGTTCCAGCTAGCAGTTCCTGAAACAGACGAAGGAGGTTGCGATGAAGCGGCGTTCGCCTTGCAGCGGCAATCGCGGTCACTATCAACGAATGATAAGGAACCTACGATTGCCTGGTCGTCATTAGCTGACGCAACGTAAATTGACACATATCCACGTCACTGACTGAACGTGACTGTGTGTTAAACAAGCCGACTGATTCGCTTGGCTGGTGCGACCTTCATGAATACTGGTCGGCCTTCACACATTAATTTTGGAAGCGTGGACTGATTCACACAAACCCCTTCAGCTGTTTCTCAGGATGGAAGTATAGAAACTAGTTGGAACACACATATAACACGCAATATCTCGCCGCTGAACATTCGTTGATTCACGTTCGTTAAGGTCTTCTTTCGTGGCGCGAAGGGTGCAAGAGTTAAAGTATAAAGCGCGTGAGAGCTTACACAGCGAGATTATAATGGCACAATTTATATCCTTGTTTTGCTTAACGTAATCTAACATTTTTTTTTAAACACCAGTTTGCAAGAGAAAATACACAAGGAGAAATAAAGATAAATTAATATTTAAATTGGTGTCGTAAATTATATATGAGGGTGTGAACACGTCGGTTTAGCCAAGTATAGGTACAATTTTTCAAAGATGCGGGAGAAATTATCAGCTTTAACAAGATAGTAGACTTTACAGCGTTAATTTTCATAAATTAGTAATGTTAGTATTCATATTAATCGAGCACCACGTGTTTGTACTGTGTAACGATGCATAATCACTCGTAATCGACAACAAAAATAAACATTCAGTCCGAGAATAATTATCCAATTTACTATCACATATCAATGTGATACGTAATGTCTAATCATGCTCACACGGTTTCATTCACACGTATCAAAACGATTCAACGATTGTTTATTTAGCTAAGGATAAATAAATAATGATGTAGACTCAATCACAAAATATGGAAGATGTAAAATCAGACGAGTGTGGGATTCGAGAAAAACTTGCGTACAATTTTATTACATGATCACACTTTCACAAAGTGCACGTCTTTCACAACTCCAGTCGTTGTTATTTAACAGCACGTCGGACAACGCTAGAAAACGCATTGTTTGCCGAGCGCAAGCTCGCTCAATTGTGTTAGGCATTAATCTCTTAAAATTTTAGTTGACTAAAATAATCGACAAATCAGTAATCAAAGTTAATCAATCGTCATATTTGTAATCACGAATAATTTAGTCGATTGATGAAGTTAATTATTAATCAATAATAAATTATATCAAACTTTGACTGATCATACAATGATTAATAATTAATTTCATCAATCGATTAAACCATTCGCGATTATGTATATTGATAATTAATTTGCCGATTATTTTACTCAAATAAAATTTTAATCAATTATTGCTTAATGCTGTCACTCGATTTCATCGAGCGTGCATCAAGAACGATGCGCAGGTTGGACTGGGGAGATCTGGGCAGGTATTGTGAAACTATCCGAAAAGATTTCCGATCGGAATAATTCCGTTTTTCCCGAATATAAGAAGATAGAAGTCGATTGAATAACAAAATTATTGCGAGCGGAAACCTTTCCGAATATAATTCCATAATATATTCTACAATTCAATTATTATTAATAATATTCAGTAATATTATTAGTAATAATATTCAACAATTCGGAAATCTTGCCGAATAGTTTTCGGCCGGAATTATTCCGCGCTTTCTCTCAAAAACACAGTAGGATGGACCGAATCGGTTCGAAATAAGTTTCGAGAGATTTGAAACAAGAAACTAACAATAACCATCTTGAAACTTATTTTGATCCGATTCTTGGTCCATTCTATATAAATTCGAGGAATAATCGAACAATTCCGGCCGGACACCTTTCCGAATAGTCTCATAATACTTGCGCCCTGGTCAGACCAGTGACCTCCGGGTCCGAGATTCGGAGATGTCTGAGGTACCGCCGTTCGCGGCCGCCTACTACTCCTAGGATCTCGGATGCACGTGTCGCATGTGCCTGAAGAGAACGTCCTTGCGGCTGCTCTTGTATCCACAGAGGTTGCAGAAGAGCATAGGCGGCGTGCCGCACACGGTGGACAGGTGACGCTGCAGACTCGCCTTCCAGGAGTAGCCCTTGCCGCACTTGGGGCAGACGAAGAGGGGCTTGCCCGAGTGCTCCGCGAGGAGATCTTCGGACTTGGTGACCACGCCGTGCCCTACAAAAATTAGACGTGAGGATGTTAGAAAGACGATGAATGTCACTCGGGGAGGGAACGCTCCTCCGTTCTCCGACGAAGGACACGACGAAGCGCGCGAGGAGCACGACGCGCGATGCGAGATCTTCTCGTGTTCGAGGACGATCCTCTGCGCGCTTGCGCCGCGGCTTCGTGGAGAACAGCAGTAGCAGGTGCAGCGTGCCACGTGCGTCGCATGCCGGAACACGTGTCCGAGTTGAGCATAACAATGAAATATCTGAAACGAAAAATGCAACTTTCACTTCATCTCAGTGCTTCTCTCTTACTAGGCGAGACCAGGTCGGTGTGAACTCTGAAAGATATTTAAAAGCTGGAGGCTGAGAGTATCTTAAAACGCAAAATGTTTGTTAACAAATGTAATCGGCAAAAACTGTCGAGATTAATCGTTGCAATCAAGCTCTTAGTGAAAGATGTCTAATAACTAAGATATGTAGCGACGCATAATCCTGCATGGTTTTGTTATCGTGGATTACAGCGCGAATACTAAATATACATATAAAAAGATATAAACAAGACAAGAAATTAATATAAACAGTTGAACATGTCTGAAAAAAAAATTATTTTCACATCCACTAATTTTTTAAGGTTATAAGATATTCCGGGTCGATTTTTCACTGGAATCATTTGAACTAAGATTTAAGCAATATTGAGCATTAATCGATTAAGATTTCCTTTGACTAAAATAGTGGGCAAATCAATTAGCAAAGTTAATCAATCGTTATACATAAAATAATAGATAATTTTATCGATTAATAAAATTAATTGTTAGTGAAACATTAATTTAATTGATTATACACATTGATTAATTCATCAGTCGATTAAATATCATTCGTGATTATATATATAACGATTAAATTATTTTAATTGTTGATTTCTTGATTACTTTAATCAAAGAAGATTTTAATCGATTAGTGGCCAACGATGAATTTAATTTTAAATTCTGCTCAAAAACATCAAGCAACATATTGTTAGAACAGAGTTTATAAACTTAAATCTAAGTTTAAACTACTGTTGAAAAATCGATCCTCGTATTGGTAACATGGCAGATAAGACGGAAATAATAACCAGCACTATTATGTACAATAGTCAGCCGTATATAAAAAAACAGTGAAACAGTAAAAGAAATACACACAAAATCTCATAAAAATGTTAGTCGTGTAAATAACAGTTGCAAAATCTCGTATTGCAACTTGCACAAGAACTGCAACAGAAACTAGATTCATGGTTAATTATAACTTTCGAAATATACAACTATGACACACATGTAACTTACAATAATTATATTTTGCGTATACTCCACTGTGGGATGATAAACTTATGCAATTTATTATTCATAACGTAACAATACAACATGATGTATAATTTCTATTGGGAAGACAAACGGTAAATCTGAGTGATTATCGTTGATAGTGATTTAATATAAATAACGTAATAGCAGGAAAATTCACTTGATAATAAATTCTTGTGTTATTGCACTGCGGGATATTCTGGAAAATCACAAGGCGAAGTTGGGTACAAACATCTGATGTCATCAATTATATTATATAGTCCTACCTTAAAATATATTATATTTAAAAGAATTGTCTTAAATAGCCCACCTTAAACGACTTGTGATTTGTAACAAAATTTAAAATAGAATTTTACTTGTAATTTTACACGTAAAATCTGAAAAAGACATTTATACATGGAAAAAAAGGTTTGGTTAAATTAACCAAATCTGGTCGAATATAAACAATCCAGAAATTCCGATGGGAATAACCCGAATTCTGTTTAAGTTAACAAAATTTTTCGTTGACTTAAACAGAATTCGGGTTACTTCAATCGGAATTTCTGGATCGTTCATATTCGACCAGATATTTGGTTAATTCAACTAAACCTTTTTTTCCATGTAGATATGTGCGTGTGTGTTACATACATCCATACATACACTCCACATACACGCACGCGTTCACATACATACACACGCACATACATGTTTCCATGGATACAACCTAGGATTCTTCAGATACACTTTCACAAATAGAATCCCGTCTCGAATTATAGATCATCCAAAGCGAGCAATCGATCCTCTTGTTTGAAAAGTCGGGATTACCCGTAAAATTGAAGTTTTTAAAATACCCTATAAATATATAATATAATCTCGTGGACTCGTTTAACACCCATTGGAAACGTGTTTCCAACAATTTTGAGTTTCGTCGTAATTATAATCGCCATATTGTAATTTCCTGCACTACAATTGGCGTTTCTTATTAGCCGGCGCCTGGCACATATGCTCGCGCAAAATGTGGTATTTGAGTAGAGTGGTCAGCCTGGCCTTGTGGGAGCAATACGGGCAGGGGAAGAGCGGGTCCATGAGGCAGAAGTAGTTCATGTGCTTGCGCAGGCTGCGCCAGTCGCTGTATCGCTTCTCGCACTTTATGCACCGCAGACTGTCCTTGCAGAGCCTCCAAACGTCACGCGGCAGTTTGTCGCAGAACATTCGCTCCTGGGCTGAAACACGATCAGAATTTCATGTAAGCGAGATGTCGAATGCTCGCGCGACAGGTTAGATGATAGTAATGATCAATCGCTTGCTCCCACTGTTGAATCATTGACCAAGCCTGATGGGTCTTTTTTCAGTTCATCGACTTGACTCCTTTGCCCACCTGTGCTTTTCCTTCTCTCTGATCAACAAAAGATTCCCTACTAATTAGTGGCAAGTACGATTATTTATTATCACGAATGCGATCTCGAATCGAAAGTGTTTATAGGGTTTCCAGGAGGTTTGTGGAGGAGAATAGAAATGCGACGGGAAAACACAGTCAGACGGATGCAAAAATCAACTCGGTCACATGATGTTCTCGAGAGTGTGATACGTCTCATTCGCGCGTCTTTGTCAGCCTGTTGAGCGCCAATCAGAACGTATCTTTAGACCTGTGATCGTCCCCTACATCATATCGGAATCTTCGAATGTGGTCGCATTCTCGGAGAGGTAAATCCCTTCCGTCACATCTTCGTAAGTACCAGAAGAGTTCTCGTGGCACAGACGAGGAATTAAAGCGCGTGCTCCCCTCTGTCTCCGTGTACGTCTAACGAGATTGGAGATGCGAGAACTGAATCGTAAGCCAATTTATTCCGAAGAGCGCCAAGAGATCAAGGGTGCATTCCCTGAAGTATTTCGTTACGCTCCCGAAACGTTGCGCGCACACACCTGTCGTTTGGCGATCGAGACAGCTGCGGGCTCAATGAAACAGCACGCCATATTGCGTAAACCATATTACTTTATTATGTGTAAGTAACATTTTACAGAACAACAAAATGTTTTTTTTTGTAAGTTGTATTCCCTTTGTATCGCAAGATATACATATATTTGTAACATATATAACGTATCGATCGACACAAACAAACGTCCCGCGAGTTCAGATCCACATGCAAGTGCGACGATTGTCATTTTGTGTTCTCTTTCTCAGTTTCCCTTTTTTTTTCATCGCGATTATTACATTGCGGATGTTTATGCAACTAAATTAACTAGCATATGTAGAAAAATATCCGAAAAATGTATGGGAATGTATGCATATATGTTACGCGAATATTTCGCGAAACGCTAATAATTTCGTGTGACTTCAATTTGTTGAAATTCCTATATATTATATTATATATATATATATAATAAAATGTAATATATAATAATGTGATAATAACAATTATAATATATAATAATAATGATGATAATTAGTGCAGTTATTTGAAAAAATTAACGATGAAAATTCAAGAAAAAATTTTTTACTACGGATCAAGTGAATTTGTATGAAGTCATATGATAAAAATTAGTCAGTAAAAGTTGACGTATTACATAAAAAATCATAGATACACCGACTATCTCGTTTTTTTAGTGCTCCGTCCAAAATTTCCTTCTATCGTATTTATGTCTTCTAACCGCTCGACAATAATTGAAAGCAAGCGTGAATAAATTCCTTGAATGGCTGAAAGAAACGTTATTGGAAACGTCATTGACTTGCACGCATATTAATATAATTTTCAAATTTATTTTTACCGATTTTTAGCGACGCTGTTAACGTAAGATTAAAATTGTATAATAAACACAAAATATAATAAACACAAAATATAGTAAACACAAAATGAAAGATAATAGTCCAATATAATTAAAATGATTACTTCTATTAGCGTATACTAAAAAATATAACAAAAGATTTGTAAGGGAAAGGGGATCTCAGATATACAGTCGATATGACAGAAATAAGCCAATAAAAGCCGACGTTTTTTACATCTATTTATATTGATTACTTCTATCATATTAATTGTGTATAGGGAAACAAACCTTTTTTTCTGTATGAATTTAGATGAAGTTCGTGAAAACAAACGAGAGCACTCCTTCTTCTGAGCACTCACCAAGTAATCCCAATTTGACACGTCTAAAATCCACGTAGAGTTCGAAATTAAGTATGATAAGCTTTCGAATAACCAATCTCAATATTTCGAGAATTATATTTTACTCCTCCTCGGGTATTCTTATACGGAGAAAAAGGTTTGGTTAAATTAACGTGATGATGAACAAGCTAAACGTCTTTTGGTTGCAGGAAACAGAATTTCTGGTTTTTGTGAATTATAAATTCGATTTTAAGAACCAAAAATTCAGTTCCCTTCAGCCAAAAGGTGTCTTTGCTTCGTTCATCATCACGTCAAGTCAACTAAATTCTTTTCTTCGTGAACGTTCTCGGCGTAACTTTCCAGCGCGACGTATTCAGAGGGAGTTTTTGCTTACTGAGCCGTTGCAACACCGTAGCCGAGTCTTCAGTTTTGAACAGCTTGTATAAAGCTTTCAGATTCACCATCTCAATATTGATGTTTGCCAAGAGACTTATTCTCGTATCGATCTGCTCTCAAAACCAGTTCAGGGACGTTTCGCCGAAATATTTCACCACTGTAGTTATTTTCAGGAATGTGCGTTAGAATCTGCGTACATCTCGTTCTATATACGTTCTACATTGAGAAAAAATACTTGAAAATTTATTTGGGAGATAAAAATTTATTTTAAAGAAATAAATTTTATATTTCTCCCACAAATAAATTTTCAAGTATTTTTTTCAGTCACCGATCTTTTTTCAGGTTCATCTCCCATAGCAGCTTCAGGTGTTCAATATTTAACTTCATGTCGAAATAGCCATCTGTGACTATCGCTCTCGTTAATTCGTCAGTTTCGTCAGAGTCCATAAAAGTTTTTCTTCGTGGTTACTATGTCCCTGTTGTTTCTGAGAAAAACGATGTCTTAATATCCCCAGTGTGCTTCTTCGTTCTAGAACGTCTTTTCTCAACAGTTGTCCCTTTTAACAAACTCACTGAAGCCTCATCGTTTGCGGTAAGAACCATCTTCTCAAAGAAGCTCTCTTGCACGGAGTGCAAAAGTTTGGTCGAATTAACGTGAGAATGAACAAATCAAACGCATTTTGGCTAAATAAAATAAAATTTCTGATTTTTGTGAATAAAATTCGGCCCTAAGAACCAGAAACTCAGTTTCCTTCAATCAAAAGACGCTTGGTTCGTTTATCGTCACGTTAATTCAACACAATCTTTTATCTCCGTGTGCAAGTCCCCTTTTCTCTTTCTCTCTTTTGTGTCTTTCCAATGATTTCTCGTTCCAGCTTGGTAATTTTATTAGATAGTTCGTCCATTAAAATCCCACGAGCAACGAAGGAAATGGCACGTCCGTCCACGTAGGGCCCCGTGTGCATGGGTAAGACTGAATACTCCGGGATTTCATTCGATTCCGCGGGGGTATTGTTCACGACTGCTCCCCCAGTTACGCCGCTACGCCGCTACGCAGCCCCAGTTATGATGGCCCCCAACTTAGCTTAGGGAGATGATTGGCGTTCCCAGATGGGTCCGGTTTTTCGCAGTTACGCATCGAGCGCGGTAAGGTGGTCGTTTCTCTTCGAATGAAAGAATATCCTGTGACGATCTCCGCTGTTATTCGTCTTCGCTGTGGCTTTTGTGCGCATGCGAAAAATAGACCGGTGTGGTGTCCAGAGAGACGGGTCTACGGCAGCGGCTTAACTTCACCCTGTCAGACTTCGTCCGATGGGAAAGACTATCACCGCCACCAACCAGGCGGCCACTCATTCAGCCACCCCCGGAGACAGCTTGACAACCCCGTAGTCGAGTTTTCAGGCCCGACAGGGAAACTGAATGCTGGTGTTCACCTGGCCTTCTTGCTTATTCGCCACCTGAAGACGCGTCCAATGGGTAGCTCAACTCACGGGTGTGCAGGATGAATCACGTAATATGCTGCAAGTAAATATCTAAAAAATCAGTGAAGTTATCGCAAAACATTCAATGACGCTTTAATAGTGAGTGAAAATATACACCGTTTATCATACAATTTTTTAAATGGTGTCAGTTTCTTAGATCTCAAAACCATTGTTTAATTTTTTAAATAGTTTATTTTTTTTAAATAATCGTACAACAAAGGTTCATAAATGTAATTTCAAAATGTAATTTTGACGTAATTTTTATCTAAAAAATCTTTATACAAACAGTTCTATTAACAAAGTGTTCGAACAAATTTCCTTGTATTTATAAACCATTTTGCAATTTCGTATATTTCTTTTTATTTTAATCATGCTTATTGTACTTATTGGTCTTTCATACTATCAAGATATCGTCAAGATGTTTCGCGATATTTTCACCATATAGTCGCTGAGATATTTACCTGCAACAGATTACGTGATTCATTCTGTATAGGTTAATCCACTTCTCATGGAAAATCTCAGGTCAAACTGCTTGGATAATCTGGAAACAAAAATTCTAACACGAAAATGTCGAATACAATGCTTTTCAGATAGTAGGCCAATTGTACCGGCTAAAATTCGCGCACTCAGATACAACATATTAATAAAAATGCTTATATGCACACATATATTATCCTATTTACATATATACAAATTTACGACATACAAATTACGCACGTGTGCAATAGCAGTGATGTAATTTCGATCGGTATTCAAAGAAACCTCGTTTTCAAACAAGAAGAATAACTTAGTTTTGAGAGATTTTCGTGAGAGGCGAAACATCCTGTGTGTAGCACGGGAGGGTAAAATATTTTCGAACGTGTGTCAACTTCTATCGCGTACAAATAATAGTATCCTAATAATAATAGTATCCTGCCGATATCATCGATCGGTCGTATCTCTCACATAGCCAAATTGGTGATCGAAGAATGATGACACGATTTGTTATCCCTAATTGCTTATGCGCGAATAAATACAAGAGATGTTTTATCATATTCGCATATTTCCCTAATGATTTAATTTACTAAAGGCCGATACTAAAGCGTCAATTGTTTCATCTACGGATATTTGGATAGATTATTCTCACTCACATCCGTTGAAAATTTTCTAATATTATCTTATCGAGATTTATAGGATACGCTATAGGATTCGCAGTTACAATTTTTGGCACATACTGTACGTTAAAATGCTAAAACATTATAATCAATAAATGAAACTAAAGTCGCAAATTGAATATACTAATTACCGAAATACGCAACGTATTCATGCATACTTTATGTAGAGAATGTGTATCTAACGCAAAACAAGCAAAGAAATCGCATTCCTCAAAATGACTTCACACAAGATAAGGTTACAAGGTTTCCTTTTCTATACGAATCTATATGTTTCCTACTCGAATCTATATATGTATTTGCATAAACATCCGCAGTCTATCTAATTATAATACTCCAACAGGACGGCGCACCGATGAGAATAATTCTGCGCCCGCGCAAGGCTCCTCGATTTAATGCTAAATGAATATTAAGGATGATTAATATTCCCGAATAATAATTTTCACAGCCGAGACGCACAACGAATATTGGCCAATTGTTCCCGATTCGTCGCAGCGAGAAGTCTTAGGTAGATTCAGCAGTCTCGAATAAGTAAACACGCGGTTTTAAACTTCCGCGGTTTCAGTCGCGACACAGACATCGTGTGTGAACATTTAAATATCCCTTCCGTCTCACTCGCGAATCGCAACGCTAATATGTCACTGTAAAAGTTCTTAAGTGCACCATTGTGTATTATCTTAGCCTAACCCCTTCCATCAGTGAAGTAAATAGTAGTGTAAGATGTCTCTCGAGTGTCTCGGGCGCTCGGCCCATGGACCAGCACCTACCGGCACACCCGAGAAGGGACGTAAGAAGAAAAAAAAAACACATATATACTAGTTTTGTGCTGTTTCCTATATAGCGGTATAGTGGTCGGCGCGCCGAAGGTGGAGGGACTTTCTGCCCCTTTCCCTTCGCCGCTACGAACTCAGAGTCGCGCGGGATGCACTTCTCACACTTCGACAGGCACTCGAAGCGTGCACACACCGCGTGAAACGCGTAAAACAACGGGAAAAGCGGTCAAAAACGTAACATCAAACACGACACCTACGATATCCGTCGGACACACCGGCGGATATGGTCCTCGCTTTAACAACACTCTAAAAAATCGATAACAAAGCGTACTCGTCACTATGCTGCGGTACATTGTCGATGTGCGTTACAAACAACTATAAGACACTTTTCTTTTTCTTTTAAGAAGAGGGCACGTATTTAGACATTCTCTTTCCCGGTTACCGTCAATATCTTTCTCCTCGTCTCCCGTCTTTCCTCCTCACCATTCTTCTCTTTATGAAAGTTGTGACGCTTAGAGGAGATCGCGAGCAGTCCCAGCCTTTTTAAGTCTCTAACATATACTCTCTCTAATCATACCATTTCATATTAGTATACACAAAATCAACGAACTTTTCATTGAAATGCTATACTTACAACTGCCAGATAAACATCAATGTGATAATTTCCCGCTCACCAATGTACGGCCAGTGACACAAAAATAAATCTCGTTTTCAAACAAGAAGAATAATTTAGAGATAAATTAACCCTTTCAGGTGCATAATTCATGGAACATTCTAGTAACTTTTTTTTAATGAAATATTGTCAAAAACACTCTAAATAGCACATTTATAAGATTTTAACTGCCCGATCCTAATTGGTCCTGCCTAATTGGACCTGCCTGGTCCTTATTGGTACCATTGATACTTAAAGGGTTAATAATATAATTTAGAATAATTTAAAGATAAATTAATAATATAATTTAGAATAATTTGAGAGATTTTCGTGAGAGGCAAAACATCCTGTGTGTAATACGGGAGGGTAAAATATTTTCGAATGTGTATCAACTTCTATCCCATACAAATAATAATATTCTGACATAGAAACGTGTACGCTGTTTTTCCTAGAATATATATATATACAAAGTCTTTTTCAAAATTAAGCACAATAAAACCAACCAAAATTCACTCCTAGTGCTGTTTTAGCACTTCGTACATGTCAGCATCTCATTAAAACTGTGTTCATAAGTTTGAAAAAGACTATGCATTCCAGGAAAAATAATGTACACGCTCTTATGCCACTGACTGTAAATGCAACATGACATGTACTGTACATAAGTTATTGTTGAGCGGGAGATTGTAACGTTAATGTAATGTAATGTTACCGTTACTGAGTGTTTGAGAAGATATAATGACACAGAAAAAGAAATTATTATTTTCTTATTGTTTAAACGAAATTAGTTGTTTCATATTACTTATTTTAGCATAAATTACTACAAACAATATCCTATAATCACAGAAATTCATTAAACAATAATTAAGCGTTTTTTCCTTTAAATTGTTGATTTTTCAACATAAAACGCAAATTAATTTTTTAACCTGTCATGATGGAGCAATTTGGCCAACAACGTTGTTTTTTGTGAGCAAAAATCTGTAAAAAACAACTAGTTTAATTAGAGTTACTTGACAAAAAAGGTTTTTTATGGTTATTGGTGAAACACTCCTTTTCCAATTGAATGAAAAACATTTTCACTGATTCACTTTAAGAGAGTGATTTGCAAAACAGATTGTACCCAGATTTAGTTCAGTTCGCGAATAATCACGCTACGTATAAATTCCAAAGACGCGATCTATTTTGAGTCTCGTGTGAATATGTGATTCCAATTATTTTCCGACTGGCTCAACGGGAAATGAAAGTTTTCCATGTTCAAATTAAAATCCGTTAAGTTGCATTTCCAGTTATTACTGGTCAAATTATTACTGGAAATCGAGTTTCGAAGGAGAAATACTTCTATGAATACTTCGATCCGTGCCTTCATCTTAAGGATTCATTGAGTATTCGTCCGGTGAACATGCATCATCACGTTACGGATGTAATAATTAAAAAATTTTTTAATTAACAATGTTAATTAACGTCAATTGACGTAAAAATTTTCTTGACAAATCAATGTTTCCTTCTTAGGATCTTGCATGTTCACCGTTTATTCTCTGTAATAACAAAAGAGAAAAACACATAATCATCGTTCTCCTAAGGCTAGAACCACAAACGAGTCATGGTTTCTTTTCCTTTTGAATCTATTTCTGAACTTTTATGCCTGCTAAGAACAGTATCCTTGAGAGCTCGAGAGCGAATTCGATTTCGGCTCTCCTTAATAGCTAACACACTCGAATTCCGTCCAGATGCGATGCCTCCAGACAAATTCATCCTATCGATAGAACACAGGACGCTTTTGTAACAGAACTTTCTTCATGAGGAACCTCTTCGTACTCTAGAACTGTCCAGAGAACTCACTGTTTTCCGAAAAAAACAGCATTCAATTCCTAATCGGTCTTAAGGCTTATCTTGTCAATAAAATTCTTTCTTTTATCCAAAGGAACTATTGCTTTATTCTGAAGTAGAACCTTATTCTGAAATAGAACTGTCTTCTCCCGATCTCTCTTTCTCTCACTGAGCGCCTAATCGATTTTCCGAACGATGATTGATTCACGCCTTTGTAAGATTTTACGATTCCTCTCGGGAGAGGAAGAGAGAGAATCTCGCGTGTGTTCGAAACTTCTCACGATTCTTCACGCCTGTACCAAACATCTTTTGCGAGAAACTCTCTCTTCTCAAAGAGGATCCTTGATGGCAGGAACTAATGAAGCTCATTCTATTGTTGGATGTTGATTATCATGACAGCCGTCGTTTTACGTTTGTCTCTTCTTTTCAATCAGCTTAGAACTTAGCTGAGATCTGCGAGCATACTCGACCGGTCAGAGAACGCGGTGAAGGTCTCTATCTCAGGGAACAAGCACAAGTCTTGTTGGGGAATGAGACGACTCAAGTCAAACGATTAAAAGAGGTGAGCTACAATTAGCTTGTGACTTGAAGTAAAATTGCTGAGCGCACAAAGGTGCGACTGCGAAGTCAACTTCCTTGTCAAACAACGTTACTGATAAATAAGTGACAATTACATATGTCCACACACCGAGAAAAATGTTGTTGAATGAAAAGAGGAAATAGTTTTATTCCATTAAACGTCGACATCACGGGCCACTAGAAACATAAGCATTTATTCCAATTGTATATGTACAATATTTTCCTCTAGACATATATAATCACATATGATTATATATTTGCTATATAGAGACAACGTTTATTATTATTTATTCCCGGGGTTATAACAGATAGTCAGAAATTTTATATCAAATTTTGAGGGTCTTCCTTTTCATCGGCGGCCCGATGCTTCAGCATCATGAATTTCTATATAAATCCAACCCTGGTGCTTCTTAGCACTTCGTATATGTCAGCGTCTCATATTTCCACAAAGCCGGGCGGAAAAGAATATACCGCGTTCTCCGATAGTCGCATTTGCTCGTAGAGCTCACGGCCAGATTCCAAAAGTCGGCAAAGATCATCTTCTTGCGTGCGTGCTACTTATCACACTGCGAGAAAAAGAAACATCTTCGCCGTCGCAGCAAAACTTTCACCGCATACTCGTGACTGATCTTAGATGGGCGAGGGGACCATCGAATCCGACGCAGCAGAGCTGTAGGCAGAGTCGACGCTTCTTGGTGGGTCAAACTCCTTCTGGGGGATCGTCACCTCCTGATGGCTCTTCATTTCATGGTGGCTCTTCACCATCAGACCGCCGTAGTTGAATTTGTGGGAGTTCTTCAGGTGCCTGGTCAAGCTGCAACGTTGGGTGAAGACGTCGTTGCAAAAAACGCAGTAGAACTGCGGCGACACGCCGCACTCGTATCTGGTGTGGCGCGCCAAGTTGCCCTGCGTCTTGTACGATCTGGAGCAGCGTTCGCACTTCCACTTGCCGCTGGTGTTGCGCACCTTGCCACAGACGGTCTTGCGATGACGATTCAGGGTGGAGAGGTGGGATAGACCGCTACCGCACTTGGAGCACATGTAGGGCTTGTTGGGGTGTCGCTTCCAGGGCATCAAGGATTGCGTCACAGACACCGATTCGGACACCGCCGGCCATAGCGGTATCTTGAAGTGCGCTGGAGGTGGCGGTGGTGGTGATGGCAGTGGTGGGAGTGGGGGTGGAGGTGGAGGTGTGGGTGGCGGCGGTGGCGGCGGTGGCGATGATGCCGGTGATGGCGGCGGCGGCGGCGACGACGACGGTGATGTTGGTGGCGGCTTTAGAAACACCCAGAATTTGAAGTTATCTGAAAAAAAATGAAAACGACGGTATTAAGGAAGATAGTGGTGGGATCGGGTTCAAGGACGAAAAAACAAATGGTAGGAAGAAAAAGAAAAAAGCTCTTTATTTCTGCTTCGGGGAGGTATACCCGAGAACAAATAGGCAAGAGAGATGAATAAGACATAAAGAGAGAGGCTAAAGAAATCGTGGATTTGAAAGGTCCTGCGGTATCTCGATAAACGATTGTTATATTATTGTAGTAAATAAATATGTTTGAATACGTTAAAATTCACGGCGTTTGAATATACGAAGTTGAACGATTTCCAAAAATCTTGTCGGTAGTGGAGAAAAGGGGACAGAAAAATAGAAAGAATTAACGATATATGTATAATATATATATATATATATATATATATATATATATATATATATATATATATATATATGTGTGTGTGTGTGTCAGGATGCAAGAAAGAAAGAAAGAGGAATCGCACGTAAACGAATTTCGAAAGCAGGAACGAATGCAGGAGAGAATAGAATATTAAAGATCAACTAAAGAAGTTTCTGAGAAATAAAGGTAACAGATTAAACGCATCGACCTTTCAACCCTTATTCATTGATGAGATCGCGGAGGGTGAGATAAATGTGTTCAACCCGCGAAGAAGGGAGTGACATTCGGGCAGGGCAGTGTTGTTTCAATAAAAATGGTTGATACATACGTACACGTAGTAGTGCTACGGAGGACGTACAGTTCACGGCATCGGACGGCGCCGAGATAGAAGATTGGGAATCAGTACATGCCGCGGTAAGAATAAGGACTTTAAATGCTTAAAAAAATATTGCTCGAGATTTCTCCATGACGAAACTATTTACAGACTCGAGTAATCGTCGGAGGACAAACAGTTACAAAACGATAATATGGCCATTGCAAAAAAATCATTCTTCAGTGTGGAACACGGCGGTAGCGCCCCGTCTCAAAAGGGGCGCGTCGATAACGCAAGTCGACGGAGATTGTCGGACATTGTGGATGCAACGAACAACCACGGGGTCTCGTTGTGACAGATTATGCAGAGCTTTATTGTTAAGTCTTTACTGCTACTATAGACAATACGTGGCATGTGTTCTATTCTACTGGTGTATCGGTATACTCCGTATACTCGGTCTGTATACTCGGATATAGGCACGAAGTGTTAAACTGCGCCTACAACTTTATTAACATCTACGGCCCGGTCTGTAGGAGCCGGGACCGCGCGGACATGTACGATAATGCTATTACAACAATGGGGAGAAATAGTTCATCTTCGGGTGATAATCTTCAGGCGATGTGCGTCGGGTCGCTGCGTGGTTCGTGGATTCGTTGCGGTTAAAGAGGGCTCTACTTAATCTTCTAGAGGCAGTTGCATCTTCGATGATAACCTACAGAACGATCTTCATAGACAACGATCTTGAAGACGCGAACTTATAGTCATCTACGTGTGTCCGGCGAATTACTCTTCATCAAGCAGCACTGTCACGAGGCTCTTGCTCTCGAAGCCTTGATCCTTGCACCCGGCAGAAAGAAAGAGAGAGAAACGTGAGAGAGAACGGCGCGCTGCGTCGTTGTGTGTTGTCACGGGCCCGTCTTCGGCACGATGTCCGTCGTCGCGTTCGTGTCGCGGCTCTTCAGTTGATGATCTTCCGAACACACTGCTTCTTCGGCGGCTGAAAAAAGTTGTGGCTCTGCATCAGGTGGCGGCGCAGACTGACGTTCTGCGTGAAGCTGCGCCCGCAGAGGTCGCAGCAGAAGTTCCTGCGACCGCCGCACTCGTATTTCAGGTGCTTCGACAGGCTGGGTTTCACCTTGTAACCCCGGCCGCACTGCGGGCACTTGAGAGTAAGATCCTCGTCCTTCAAGTAGTTCGCGTGTCGCGACTTCCGAGGCGGACCCGAGTGACCGGTCGACCAAACCACATCTGGAAGAATACGAAAAGGACAGTCGTGTTAGTCGTGTTAGCTTATTCCGTGCGATCGTCGAGCGAGATCGTCAGACGCGAGTCTGAACGATCGAGACCTCATCATCCGTCAGCCTGACCACGTTTCGGAATCAGAAGGTCGAGGTATTGAGAGAGGCATGCAGGCAAGTTAGAGGCTTGAGACGGGATCATCGTAGACATGGGATTTGCAGGCAGAGGGGGATTTCGTTAAAATTCACGGGGATTTCACGTTCGCTCTGATGGATCGAATAAATTTGGTGACGTACTTGAAGAGCACTCGATCTGCCTTCAATCGTCGATGTCCGCCGGAACGAGAAGGAATGAAATAGGTTGCTGGGACGGGGTCGTTCGCGCTTTCTTCGTGCTTTCGTGGGAATCACGATCAGGACCCGAGGTGAATATAACGGTAAGCGGTCTACAAGATAAAGCTATTTTCCATCGGGTTGACGATCTTATGGACCGTCGAGAGGTGCCGCTGTAGGCTCGTTTTCTGGGTGAAACTGTAGCTGCAATGGCGGCACAAGAACTCCCGTTTACCGCCGCACTCCCACTTTTTGTGTCTGCGCAGATTGCAGAGCATCGTGTAGCTGCGCCCGCATTCCTGGCAGATGAAACGGGACCTCGTGAAACCTATCGAAAAGAGAACGTTACTCTGAGTGATGCGTTTGTGCGCGCGTCAGCACATCGAAACGATTTTCAGAGTGTGAATCTTATAACGTTCTTTTAGCGTTTTGATGTAAATAGTAGACAGAAAGAGGTAGAGAGAGAAAGAAAGAGAGTCAATGATGGCGTTAAGGGTAGCGATGGTGGTGTTAAGGGGAGAACTCCATGTAAATGAGCCGAAAATTAGGCAGTCTCTAGGGATTAAAAACAAAAAAACGATCAATCTTTTTGAAACTTTTAACTTTTATATTTAAATGCACACTTAAAGAATTAGAAAATATTTGGTTTGAGCAATAGTAATGAATATTTTGATGGTTAATGGAGGTCGATGTCGGAGGCCTCGTTTTTGACGAGGTGAACTTGCGTACACTCTAGCGGTCTCAATTTTAATTTTGCAACAAAAATCCTAAAAGATTAGTTTTTTTTTTAAATAAAAACCACGTGAAATGAACCTAAACTTGTTTAAAAAGGGGAAATTTAGTGAAAATAAACGCCTTCAAAAGAAAAGGTTCTAATTTTATGGAAAATTTTCATCTCAATTGTTTAAAAAATGTTGTTTAAATAAATAAATATTAATAACATTTAGGTTCATTCTATTGCAAAAGTAATAATGTACATGCACGCATAAGCGCAATGCAATTGGTTGAATAGTTTTTGAGCTATGATGTACGCAAGTTGCGAAAAAGTAGTTCTGAGAAAAACACGTTTAAAGTTAACGAAGCAAATAAATAATATAAATAAATAGTTTTTGGAAACTCACGGCTCTTTTCGATTATTCTGCAATTCCAACTCCATACAACAGACCCTCCGTTTCCTCGAAAAATTGGTTTTCTGCAATTTTTTTTTGTTTATGAACTATTCGAGCCTCTTTTTTGCTGCTACGAGCTTGGCGCTCCTGTCTGCCCAATCGTTTGCTGTCCAATAAATCCAATAAATCGACGTAAATTTTGCATTGCTGGCAAATTTTAAGTTCTAAAACATCCACCATTTTTAGCACTGCAGAACAGCCCTCGTTAAATATGCTAGCACCAATATAAACAGCTATTTCTATTATTTTAGTGCCAGCATGTAAGTGTTTTGGAGCTAGTTGCCAGATCATTGCATTCAGACTTTCATTAGCATTCTGTGTATACTCTCCCGAGCATCTCTCGGCCACTGAGAGAGAGAAACGTTAAAGTCTATTATGCAAAAGGGATTAAGTCGAGAAACGGAAGGGGTCCGGTCAAAACGCGCCGGCGACTCTTATATTTGCGCGCGGCGCAGATATAAATGTCCGCAGTGCCATTAATACTTCCTGCCTAATTCCTGAACAGCCGTATCTGTCTCTAATTACGCGTTTCTCATGACTGTTGATTAATGTAGCAAGCGAAAATGTGTCCACAGCCACAATGTAAAATTTTGACAACTTGACGTTTCGTATACACGCCCATAAAAAGGGGTTATCTGCTTCTATGTAATCAACAAGGAAGAATAACACAGACGTGTAGTACACGAAATGTTAAGTTGTCAAAACGTCACATTGACTGCGGACTTAACACGGAAATGGGTTCTAAAACTTTAGGATTATATTCTCTATATAACAACGACTTGATTTAAGTAAAAAAAAATCAATTTTTCCGACCAATTACATGGAGTTCTCCCCTTAACAACGAGACCGTAGTGTCCTTGTGGAATGTCTGTTAAGCGTCGTTACGGAAGCAAAGTTGAATTTAAGGAAAAAAACCAATAATAAAATGAACGGTTAACATCAATGTAGTAACAATTACAGTTGCTGGACTCACGTCGCAGCGTTTCAACGCTCTCATTGAACTTACTCGATGTCGTTGCGTGAGTTGCAGTAAGGATACTTTATCGACGACGAATGCTCCGGGCGTCTCGCCGATCATATTCTCCTGTTTCTCCCGTACGAAATAACGGCGTGAATTCGCGTGCAAATTCGCGGGCAACAATGCAAGCAACGTCTCTTCGCTCAGCAAGCATCTGCCGTCGACAAAGTCCCTGGAGGAGAACTCGCGTCTCCCGCGACGACTCCGATTCTAACACTCAAATATTTGCGATGTAAAACAGAAAGAGAGAGAGAGCGAGAGAGCGAGAGATGTTGCGGAACGTCTTATGTATTGTACAGTGATAACTTGTCAAATCAAATGCGATTATAGTCTTAGTAGTACATATCTTCACACAAGATGCATCTTCGTCGCGCGATTGAAAGATTTCAATGTCTCATTTATTATGGATTTTGTCAATTACGCGTTATATAGCTACAAGAATCGACAATAGTATCGCGTTCTTCACGTCGTTTCCACGCGACTAAAGTCCCATCAGTCGGTGCATCTTCGACTAGACGACGTCGCTGTGGATTTTGGAACAGTATCTGTGGTATTTGTCGCCC